CACAGATTTTTATTTTTTTTTGTATTATTATTTCCTCCCCCCCCCCAACGTAGGAAGAAGCGAGAGCCACGTTTCTTTCAGCTGATTTATCAGGGCAAAGCATCTGCCAACCATGGCAGTGGGAAGACTTGAAAGAGAGGGAATGGGATCATCTTTCCCGAATAATTTTATAATTATAATTTGACGTTGTATAAAAGGGGAAGGATCCCCAGGCTTGGAGCGTGGTACCCGTCCCCCAGGACGCTGACACCGGGGGTTCCTCACCCTTCACACATACAGGGATGCTCCAGATTCCCGATTTACGCAGATTCCTGCTGGCTGGGATGCCGAGGGAACGTCGGCGTGACGTACGGATGTCGGGGGGGGAAACGCAACCAGCACGCGGCTTAAGGGCCAGATGTGGAGCAGACTGGAGAAAAGGATGAGCTCCAAACACCAAAAAATAAAAAAAAAACAAACCACCCACTCCGTGAGCCATCAAAGCTCCATCCAGCAGATTTTCCATGTTCCAAGCAGACCCGATCCGTGAGTGACCAACACAGGCGGCATCGGAACCTTCGACCTTTTCCCAAAAACTAAATCATGTGTTGGATTTTCAATATTTAGGTGTTATGCTTTAAAGAACAGGGAGAAGATGGAAGAAACGGAGAGATGGATGGGGAAAGCTGTAGGAATCAGTGATACTTTGGTTTTTAATTAACCCCCCGGGTTCTCCTTATTTGGGGCCCTTCGTGAAACACGGTGGAGACGGATCCCGGAGACCACGAGAAATCCATAAGGATTTGCTCTTTTCAAGGCTTTTCCTCTGTTGCTATTACATCCAACCAAGGCTGGAATATCCAGGGAGAACATAGCTCTGTGGAAAGACACCTGTGATGGTGGATCTGGTGTCCTTCAACCACGCCGACGACACTCAACCGCGCCCGCGCCGCTGTCGGCTCCGAACGATGATTCGGAGCAACCAACTCTGCTCCAAGAACCCTCATTCCAAGTGATCCCTGCACAGGGACCCCAAAGGACATTGCACTTGAATTTGGGCTCCTCCAGGGCAGGGGGGGTCTCCTCCTGTGGATATTTTAAGGAAGGTAGCAGAGGGTTTGGAAGAAGATTTGCTGTTCATCGACGTTCCCTTTGAACATTCCCAACTTAAGAGCCTCGGAAGAGCCAATGGATGAAACCAGAGGAAAGCAGAAAGTCTATTATTTCACTTAAATTCCCTAAAGCATAAAAAAACCCCAAACTAACCCAAACTTTATCTTCGGGTAGGATTTTTGGAAGGTACAAGTCGAGGAAGGAGAAGGAATATTCGGATTCCTTACTCCAAAGGATGGATTTTTGCCAAATCCCCCATCCCACAACATCTCCTTCTCGGTGGATGGAGGCGCATAAAAAAAAAATAAGCGTCAAACAGCTTAAAAAATCCAAGTTTGGGAACTAAAAATCCGAGCCAAACGTGCCAAGGTGACCCCACAGAGGGAAGCAATGCCCAGGGAAGCGTGAACACCCTGGTTTCGAGGATTTATGGGACTGGGCATTTGAGCTTCAATTAATTTTCCAAGTGCTGAAAGCAGACAAGAAACCATGTAATTACAGGATAACTTGGCTTACCCAGACTCAGCTTAAGCGGCGCTCCCGGGTTAATCAGAGGTCAGCGTTCCCCCAGCCAACCCCGCTAAATCCATGGGATTTGAACGCTCTGCTCTTTGCCTTAAAGCAACCGCCAGTTCTCATTCCCACCCCTTCGTTTTGGGAAGCATTTGGGATTTTGGAGGCACTTGAGAACACCAGGAAAGCCCTGCTCCAGTCCATCTTCTCCCTCTCAAAGCACCTGTGGTTTAAGGGAATTTTGCCCAACCTTCAAGGCAAGCTGGCCCAAGCCACCCCTTAGAAAGACTTGGATCACCTCTGGAGAGCAGAGGAAACCCCCTGAGGACCATCCAGGGAGGATTTGGGATGCTGCTCATGCCCTGTCCATGTCCACATCTGGGAAATTCACTTTTTTTAACACACATCTGTACCTACAACACCAAGAAACTTCCAGGATCGGCCACGACTCCTTCCCACGTTAAACCCTTACAATCCTTCCCTTGTCCTGCTGCTTTGTGCGATCCAGTTTTTAGTTTTTCACCTCTTGCAGACACGCAGATCGGCGATTTACTCCCACCAATTAATCCCAACTACCTAAAAGGACTGAAAATTAGGAGGGTGACGAGGAAAATTAAGACTCTGTGGCAGTAAAGAACAAACCCAACTACGAGCAGCCCGGCAAAATCCCGCCATGTAACGGGATTACTCCATCCCTGACCCTTTCCAGGGGAGCTCCAGGTATTATTTTCCATTGATTTACCTTAATGAAAGCAAAGCCCCCCTCTCTGTAGGAAGCTGACTCCAGAGCTGTCTAGGCACTGGATTCAATTAAAGGAATAAATACATCTGGCTTCGAAATGGCTGGAATTCTGGAAAAGCCAGAGGCGGGAGAGCTCTTTGAGTCTCTCCCTCGGAGGCTGCGCCCCGAGGACACCACGGAGGGTGGGTGACACCCAACACCACTCCTGGAAAGCCAGGGAATCTTTTCACCCCCAGTTCGGGGTCCAGGGGGAGTTGACGACCCTTTTCAGCCCAACCTGTCAGGCCTATGAGGCATTTAGGGCCTGTGGGGTGGGTGTATGGGGTCTACGGGGTTAGTGAGGCCTATGGGGTGTATGGGGTCTATAAGGCCTATGGGGCCTATGGGGTGTATGGGGTCTTTAGGATTAGTGAAGCCTATGGCATCTATGGGGCATATGGGGTCTATGGGGTTAGTGAGGTCTATGGGGTGTGTGGGGCCTTTAGGGCTAGTGAAGCCTATGGAGCCTGTGGGGTATATGGGGTCTATGGGGCCTATGGGGTATATGAGGTCTATAAGGCCCATGGGCCCCCCTCCCTATAGGGTTAGTGAGGCCTATGGGGCCTTTAGGGTTAGTGAAGCCTAGGGCGTTTATGGGGTACATGGGGACTATGGGGTTAGTGAAGCCTATAAGGCCTATGGGGTATATGGGGACTATGGGGCTAGTGAGGCCTAGGGGGCCTATGGGGCTAGTGAAGCCAATGGGGCCTATGAGGTATATAGGGTCTATAAGGCCTATGGGGTGTATAGGACTATGGCATGTATAAGGTCTACGGGGCTAGTGAGGCCTATGGGGTGTATGGGGTCTTTAGGGCTAGTGAAGCCTATGGGGCCTGTGGGGTGTATGGGGTCTATAGGGTATATGGGGTCTATAGGTTAGTGAGGTCTATGGGGCCTGTGGGGTATATGAGGCTTATTGGGGCCTATGGGGCTAATGAAGCCAATGGGGCCTATGGGGTATATAGGGTTTATAAGGCCTATGGGGTCCATAGGGTCTATGGGGCTTATGGGGCATAGGATTTGGGGAGGCACTCTGAATTGGAGGGGTGGGAGGTCAAAGGGCACTTGGGGGCTCCCCAGAGTGCCAGGGGAGGAGAGCAAGGGGTGGCCCCGGGGTGAGGGGTGGGGATGAGAGGCTGGAGGAAGAGATGGGGAGGGTGAAAAGACCTCGGTTTTGGGGGGTCATAGGGCTTGGGGGGAAACATGGACACTGGGGGGGGGCGCCCCAAATTGTGGAGGGGAGGAGAGGGAAGGAGCTGGGGCTGGGAAGGGGTGAGACTGGGATGGAAGGGTGATGTGGGGGCTCTGCAGGGCAGAGGTCCTGGTGGGCGAGAGAGCAGGGTCGGGGCTTTGGGAGGGGGTCAAAAGGGGGATCCTGGGAACTCCTGACCCATCAGCCTCACCACAGGGGATTCCTGGAGCATCCCTGCCTGTTCCCTGGCTCCAACCCTCCCAGCTTTGATGGGAGCCGGCCCCAAACTGCTTTAACAAGGCTCTTTCTTCCCAGAAGCTGGTGTTGATTTGAGCCCTCGATGTTGACTTAGAACCCCCCGGGTGCCCAGAGCCTGTAAATGCTCCAGGCTTAGTTTCCAGGAAAAAGGGGGACAAGCATCCAGCTGTGGCGTGGAATATCAATGTTTCCAAGGCAGTTCCAGTGGAGAGCAGGGGTTAAAGGCTGGGAAGCAGAAGCTGGGATTGAGGCTCATCTCACACCGACTAAAATCCAAGGCAGGCTTTGCTCACACGTGCCTTGGTTTGCAGCCATGGGAATAGAGGAAACAAGGTGGCTCAGGAGCACCTTGTTTGCGATCTATCCGTGGAAATGCCGCGAGGATTTTCCTCCCGCACATGGAACAAGCAGAAATGACGATTACAGGGGGTTGTTGAACCAGAAGGTTGGTCCTAAAGGTCTCCTTCACTTTTTTTTTTTCTGTGCTGATTGCCCTGATCCACACAAGGAGGGAGTAAAGGTCAAAGATTCACAGTGGCTTTGGGATAAAATCATAGAATCATGGAATGGTTTGGGGTGGAAGGGGGCCTTAAAGATCATTTAGTTCCACCCCCCTGCCATGGGCAGGGATACCTTCCACTAGCCCAGGTTGCTCCAAGCCCTGTCCTTGCACTCCAGTCCAAGGGAAGGCTTAGTGGTCCAAGCTCCCACTTGGAGCACTTAGACCAGGAGGAACATCAGGCTGGAATTCCCAGGGAGGATTTCTCTGCACAGAATACAGGCGGGATTTTACGAACACCTTTTCACTTGCAAGCAGAGGGTGAAGGTCTCCATCATGCTTTCCCTAATAACAGGCATTTCCCCTAATCCCCTGCAAATTTAAGGGGATAAAAGGAGCCATTTAAATGTTCTAAAATCAGCAATTTAGCGATGCCACTGCGACAACACATTTGTGGGCGACCCGTCGGGAAGGAAACCCCTCCCCTTGCTCTCTATCACAGGATCACACAATCATTAATCCTATTGATTTAAACTTTTAATCACTCTTTTCCTTTCCTCTTTTCTGTGAGGAAGGACCTTTTCTGGTTCAATTCCCCCCCCCCCGACACTGGAGGTGAGAGCAGAGCAGACCAGACGCGCACGACACACAAGCCTCGTACTCACCGACATGGTAGAGTGGGCATCTACCTCCCCCTACAGAGGACAACACAGGGAGGTCAAAGTCAAAGGCAGAAGAGAAGCAAAGCAACAGGAGAAAGGCAGAAAGGTTCACAGTGGTCATTTTTTAGGCCCCTTTGTAGCAGCGGTTGGCAAAGTCATTAAGAAAGCAAAATACGGGCCCGTTCGACCTGGGTTGAGGAGGGAGAGGAGGAAAATAAAGGACCACGAGAGTAGTTTTAAGTATCATGGAATGGTTTGGGTTGGGAGGGATCTGAAAGACCATCTGGTTACACCCCCTGACATGGGTAGGGACACCTTCCACTAGCCCAGGTTGCTCCAAGTCCTGACCAACCTGGCCTTGAACACTGACATCCACAGCTTCTCTGGGCAACCTGGGCCAGGGTCTCACCACCCTCCCAGCCAGAAATTCCTTCCCAATATTCCATCTATCCCCACCCTCTGGAAGTGGGAAGCCATTCCCCGTGGCCTGTCAGTCCATCCCTTGTCCAAAGTCCCTTCTCCAGCCTTCCTCCATTCCCTGCCAGCACACATTCCTGTGCCTCGGCTCTCCCACCTGGAAGTGATGGATGTCAAACCCTAGTGAGTGACAGCCGGGATCAGCTCCATAAAAACTTGCTCAGCCCTCCCAAGGGCAAAGGGACCTTATTTAAGCACTGCCAGGACTTGTGCAAACCCAAAGAAGGTGACTTCGGTGCTCACACCACGTTTTCATGACAGTTATTTTCCACTTGGGTCCCTCCCAACGTGGTCGAGGCTGCGGTTGGTGCAAAGTTCAAGGCATTTCACCTCCACACACGGTGCCCGGGCTTATAAATATTACAGGGGGATTTGACTTTTTAAAATAAAAACATAGGTAATCGTTCTGTCGAAAAAGAAAATAAACACTCGCAGAGCTCTTTCTACCAGGGCAAGAGAGCTGCCGGGGTCGGCGCGTTCGCTCGCGAGCGGGGAAGAGGTGCCAAGAGAAGGCGAAAAAACTCGTGGCTCCAGCTGAAATCTGTGCCTGCCATCTGGCAAAAATAAGCAGAAAAGGGGGAAAAAAAATAGGGGGGGGGGGAAAGAAAGGGGAGAAAAAAAGAAGAAAAAAAAAGCCCTTTGGAGAGTTCGCACTGAACTGCTCCGGACGGCAGAGGTTGGAGCTCGGTCGATCGCTGAAAGATTGCTTCCCCTTCCCGGGTCAGCATCACCTCTTGACCTGCCCTGATTACCTTCCAAAGGAGGTTATCGAGATACAAGACTAACAGAGGATTAAAGGAAACTTAAAATAAAAACAAAACACCCCCCTCGCCCCCCCCTTCCCCTCAGCCCCGCTCCCCTCCCCCAGGAAAACATCCTTGCTTTGTTAACCTGACAGTTCCCGGGAGGTGTTGACACAACCCTCCATCTCTGAGGAGCTTAATGTCAACAAATCAGTGTGTTTGGAGTAGCCCTGTCAATGCGATTTACATTAACTTGTCTAACAAGAAATAAAAACAACAATCAGCCATCAAAGACAAAGGGCTTTTTCAGTCATTCTTTTCAAAGTATCAGGCTGGAAATGTTCATTTTTGGAGGCCGTGGCCCTGCCGCTCGCTGAAAACCAGAAACCACCTTTTTATTTTTTTTTTCCCCTCTTTCTCCTGAAATACTTGGGGGGTTTTTTAACTCGATTTTTTTTTTCTCCCCTTTAAAAAACCTAGTATTTTCTTTTAAGGGAGCCCCGAGCATCCCATATTAATAAAGCTCCACAGCAGCAGTAACCGACTCTCCCTGGTTAACTCAGGAAGAGGTCGGCCTGGAAAGCCAAAATGTTAATTATGCTTTGATTTCCATCAGCGCTTTTATTTGCTTTGAGACTGTTTCGGGCACTTAGAGAAGCATTTTCAAATTGTGGCTCTAAACCACCATGACAATTCCATGCAGCCCTGGAATGCATCCCGAAACCCCGGGAACTTCACCGTGAACTTTTCCTGCCCCCACCCCCGGCACACGCTGTACCCACCCGACGTGCCCGGCACCCGTCCCGGAGCAACGCTGCAAAATGCAAATGAATTCCAGGAATTCCCAACATCTCAGTGGTTCTCATCATCTCCCACAAGGTCTACTCTTGATGCTCTAAAGGAAAAATTAGGGATGGCAGTTCCTGCTTGAACTCCAGAGGAAGAGGAGACTCTTCAGGCAGCTCCACGAGCCGGGATTTTGGGATGGGTGGTTTTTTTGCTGCTTGAACCAGGTGACCTGGGTGCCCAGAGAGGTGGGTGGATGCCCCATCCCTGGAAAAATTCAAGGCCAGCTGGACAGGGCTCTGAACAACCTCAGATGTGATGAGAATCATGGAATATTCTCAGTTGGAAAGGACGCACAAGGATCAGAGTCCAACTGAATGGTCCATATGGGGATCTGATCTAGCTGAAGGTGTCTCTGCTTATTATGGGGAGTTGCACCAGATGACCTTTAAAAGTCCCTTCCCAAAATTACTCTGTGGCCTCCAGTGGTCCTTCAACCATTACAGAATCAGAGAATCATGGGATATTCTGAGCTGGAAGGGACCACAAGGACCAGAGAGTCCAACTCCCAGCGGAACAGCCCATAAGGGGATTTCTCTTATTGAAGATGTCTCTGCCTATTATGGGGAGTTGCACCAGATGACCTTTAAAACTCTCTTCCCAAAATTATTCCACGGCCTTCAGAGGTCCTTCAACCATTAGAGAATCACAGAATCATGGAACATTCTGAGCTGGAAGGGGACCCACAAGGATCAGAGAGCCCAGTTCTTAAGGGAATGGCCCACGCAGGGATCTGATCTAGTTAAAGATGTCCCTGCTTATTATGGGGTGTTGCACCAGATGACTTTTAAAGGTCCCTTCCCAAAATTATTCCATGGCTTCCAGAAGTCCCTCAACCATTGCAGAATCACAGAATATTTGGAATTGGAAGGGACCCACGGAGTCCCACTCTTAGGTGAATATCCCACACAAAGATTGAACCCCCAACCCTGGTGTTATCAGCACCCTGCTCCGACCAACTGAGCTCATCCCAGGGTTTATTTTCTGGGATTCCTAATAAATCCAGGGAAATTTCAGGCATTCACACATCCCAAAAGGGAAACACAAGACCCAAATCTTGGCTGGGAGCTGCCTTTCAGCTCACTCAGCACCTCTGCTCCTCTTCACTCCCTCTCCAAAACAGAGTCACGTGGATCTTCCAAGGCCACTTGACCTGCCCTGGGTGAGTGGGAGCCTTGACCCCGGGAAGGTTTTCCTGCCACTGGGACAATGGGATTCCTCCCACCCATCCCAGGGAGGGCATTTCTGCAGGCTCAGGGCTTTGGGCTCAGTTCAATCCCAGGATGGAGCTTTTTGGGGAGGATAATTTGAGCGCCATAACCACCGACGTGCCCAGGCCGGGGTTCTTGGAGCAGCAAGTGAAGGTGGAATTCCGGGTGGAATTCCAGCTCCTGACACTTTCCTTCCAAAAAAACTGCAGCTTCTAATACCAGGAAAAACACTTTTCGCTTGTTAAAAATTGTGTAAATTCAGGAATGTACCCAAATATCAGCTCTGGAATGTGGTGGCAGCTCCAAAGCAGGAGATGAGAATGGGAAGGGATGGATGGAGCTGCAGAAAGGAAGGAGAAGATGCTCCAAGGATGCCTCATCCAGGGATGGGGCACTTGCTTTTTTCCAGGAGACACTGGAAATCCTGGATTTTAGAGCTGCACCAGGCTGAAAACTCATTTCCAGCAGGGAAGCAACTCCTCTTAAATCCCAACACCACAGTGATTTATTATTTGTGTGTTATAAAAAAATAAAAGGAAATAAAATGAAATGAAATTTTAAAAAAGTAAAATATAATATAATGCAAAATAAAGTTTAAAAAGTAAAATAAAATAAAATGAAATAAAGTCAAAGAAAATAAAACAAAACAAAATAAAACAAAGTAAAATAAAGTAAATAAAAATACATAAGAATGCATAAAATAAAATAAAATAAAAATACATTAAAATACATAAAATAAAATAAAGTGAAATAAAAATATATAAAAATACATAAAATAAAATTTAAAAAGTAAATAAAAACACATAAAATAAAATAAAGCTAAATAAAGTAAATAAAAGTAAATAAAGTAAATAAAAATACATAAAATAAAATTAAGTAAATAAAAATACATAAAATAAAATAAAGTAAAATAAAGTAAATAAAATACATAAAAATACATAAAATAAAATTAAGTAAAATAAAGTAAATAAAAATACATAAAATAAAATTAAGCGAAATAAAGTAAATAAAAATACATAAAATAAAATAAAGTAAAATAAAGTAAATAAAATGCATAAAAATACATAAAATAAAATAAAGTAAGTAAAGTAAATAAAAATACATAAAATAATAAAAAAAATAAAGTAAAATGAAGTAAATAAAAATACGTAAAATTAAAGTAAAATAAATATATCTTTTATCCTATCATTAGCTCTACTGCTCACATTTTGGGCTGGATTTGGATCAGCAGTATAGAAGCAGTTCCACCTTTCCCCAGCAATCCTGAAATATCCTCTTGGAGTTGTAATTCACCCTTTCTGGAGACTGTTCCTTCTCCCCTCTCACTCTCTCCTGTCACAGCTGAAGCTCATCCCACATTTTTGGTGCTTTCCCAACCATCTCCATCATTTTCCTGCCTGGCTTTAGACACGTGGGGGCTTCTACACAACTTATTTCCCACATTTCATCAGCAAAGGACAGGAATTTCAATGTCTTCCTAAATAAGCCACTGGAAAAAGATCCTTGAACCCTAAAAGGACGAAGAACCAGAGACACCAAAGGATGTGGAGGCCCTTTTAGGTCCACCCTGGTTCTTCCTGGCTTGTTCTCCCCCACCAAACCTGCAAGGGGAGAAAGGGACCCACCAACAACGGGCATTGGTGGCGTCTCCACACTCCTCTGAAGGAAGAAATTCCAATATATATCAAAAATTCCCGGAGCCACCTCTCCTACAAGGCTTTGGAGGAGACCCCCAGCTCCCCACAGCCCTTGGCAGCATCTCCCTGAGGGGCCTCCCCGGATCCCAGGGCTGCCAGGAGCCTTCTCCTCAGCTGGGTCCTGCCCTTTGGCCACAACAACCCCCGGCAGCTCCAGGCTGGGCCAGAGGGGCTGGAGAGCAGCCAGGCAGGAAGGGAGCTGGGAGTGGGGATGGACAGGAAGCTGAACAGGAGCCAGAGTGTGCCCAGGGGGACAAGAGGGCCAATGGATCCTGGCCTGGCTCAGGAACAGGGTGGCCAACAGGGCCAGGGAAGGGATTCTGCCCCTGGACTCAGCGCTGGGGAGGCCACCCCTGGAGTGCTGTGTCCAGTTCTGGGCCCTCAGCTCAGGAAGGACATGGAGGGGCTGGAGCAGGTCCAGAGGAGAGCAACGAGGCTGGGGAAGGGACTGGAGCACAAGTGCTGTGAGGAGAGGCTGAGGGAGCTGGGGGGGCTCAGCCTGGAGAAGAGGAGGCTCAGGGGAGACCTCCTCACTCTCTGCAACTCCCTGACAGGAGGGGGGAGCCAGCTGGGGGTTGGGCTCTTTTCCCAGGCAACCATCAGCAAGACAAGAGGGCTGGGTCTTGAGCTGTGCCAGGGGAGGTTTAGGTTGGAGATTAGAAAGAATTTCTTTGCAGAGAGGGTGCTCAGCCATTGGAATGGGCTGCCCAGGGAAGTGGGGGATTCTCCATCCCTGGAGGTGTTTAAGGACAGACTGGATGTGGCATCAGTGCCATGGGCTGGGAACCACGGCGGGGTTGGATCAAGGGTTGGACTTGATGATCTTGGAGGTCCCTTCCAACCCAGCTAATGCTATGATTCTATGATTCTATGATTCTATGATTCTATGGTTCTATCCATCTCGGTGCTTTTTAAAGCAATGAGTGTCCTCCCAACCCCCCCAGACAATCCCAATTCACTCCAAGAGGAAACATTAATATTTAAGGAAGACAAATTGCTCCAGGTCCAACCTCATCCATCACCGTGGGCTCTCTCCCCGGCCTCATCTCTCCTGCTGGTCGAGCTCCACGCTCCGCTGCAGACACCAATCTCCCTGTCTAATCCCATTAAGCATTCCCAGTAGGATTCTTGGGAGTGGTCTCCACCCCTGTGGAGCATCATCTCCCTTTTCTTGAGGAGAACTCCAGCCATTTCCAAGCACCTCCTGGCTCCGGAAGGCCCCCACACGCGGGCCACGCTCAGCCACACTGCCCAGATGCCAGTGGAGGGGACTTTTTGGCAACAAACCTGGACGAGAAGATGGATGAAAGCCCTTCCAATCCCTCTGCACAGGAGGCAACACTTTATTTAGCAATTTATTCCAGAGATAACAGAGCTAAGGAAGCCCCTTCTCCCCAGCAACACCAGGAAAGCCACTTCCATTTCCCCTTCCATCCACAGCAAATCCTCAGCTCCACCCTGCTCCCAGACCTTCCTACTGGGAATGGGATGGCCAAAGACAGGAGCACAACTTTGGGGCTGTAACACCTCCTAAAACAGCACTGGAGGGCTGGAACAACCTTCCAGAAGAGGAATCACAGGGAACAAACAAGTAGGATGAAGGAAACCACCGCTGGGGACTGTTAAATCTTCTCTTCCTGTTTATACCCAACCTCATGAAAGATGCCCAGTGTGCCCAGTGTGGGCACAATCCTGGGCACCCAGGAACAACAAATAAATCACAGGCCCAGTAAAAAAGATCTGAAATTTGCTTTTAGAACAACTAAAAGCAGAGTTCAGTGGATTTGCTGTTCCAAAATACCTGCTGATCCCAGATCCTCCTCCGGGTATACCCAGACAGCTCAGAACAAATCTTATTTAAAGAGGGGGGAAAAAAAGCTTTTTGAGCAAAAATTAAACTCCCTGATGATTCTGTTTTTCCTACCCAACGAGACACTACTCAGCCAAGTGCAAAAAGCAACACAAACCACATTTTTGATGGCAACAACAGCATAAACACACGGGGGTATTTTAGACAGCGGAGAGAAGAAAGAAACACAGGCTGCCTTCCAGCGGAGCAGGATTTTGATGGAAGGCACCAGTGGCTTGACAAACACTTGGAAATGTATCTGTAGTTCAAATAAGACACTCAGAGAGAGGATATCTTGAAAAAAAGAAATGCTGGATGGCCATCAAGCTGAACGTTAAAATAGCCAAAATCACAGAATGTGCTGACCTGGAAGGGGCCCCCAGGGATCATCGAGTCCTGCACAGGCCCAGCCCCAGGAGTCCCACCCTGTGCCCCAGAGGATCATCCAGACCCTCCTGGAGCTCTGGCAGCCTTGGGGCTGTGCCCACTGCCCTGGGGAGCCTGGGCAGTGCCCAACCACCCTCTGGGGGAAGAACCTTTCCCTAAAACTACAGGTGGGAAGTGAAGGATGACCCTCTTGGTCCACGGTGGGCTGTGATGGTGCCTCAGCTGTGTGTAAAGAGACCTGCAAACAACGGGGGAGACTCTCAGGAAACCCAACCCTTGGGAACACGTGAAATATGCGTTACTTTAAAACTGGATTATTGTTTTTTACATCAGAACCGACAGCACGAGGCCCCGTTTCCACCACACACCATCGAGTCCGAGCAACCCGGAATTCCAACAACGCCGTGGGATGGCTGGATGGGAACAGGAAGGGAGTTGGCGGCGGCGCCTTACCGGGAGGTGGGTGAACACGGCGAAGGTGCTGCGCAGGAAGCCGATGAGATCCACCAGGTAGTCGCTGGCCCGGCTGCCCGGCTCCAGGGCCATCCAGTCGTAGTCTGCCAGCTGCAGGAACTGGTCGATCTTCTGGTTGAGGTTGGTGTAGATCTCCTCCTCGGCCGCGTGCCGGGCGTCCTGCGAGGGACACGCTGCGTGGGGTGGGGTCTCCACACCACAAATCCTCCCTCTCAGGCCCAAAGGTGGCACAACCCGAAGCTCAGGGAGCACCCACGAGGCTGCTGAAGCCTCAGGGCAGTCAGGCTGGTGGGACAGGTGCCACTGGCTCCAGGGGGATTCGGCCTCTGAAGCAACCTCGGGACAAATCTAGTGGAGGATGGAAGAGGAACATCCCGGATGGAAAAGGGTTGAGACCCACCAAACCAAAAGGTGTGGGGTGCAGGAGGCCACAGAGGAGACCCCCTGCCAAAATAAGGCAAGAAACTCAGCTTTAGGCCAAATAGGTGGGTGATGCCAGAATAGACTTCCCTGAGGACAAGAGATTTTAGTCTCCTGCTGAGTTATCCCAAGGGTAAAGCTCACCCAACCAATTCCCTGCTGTTCCCATGGGACACAATTCAAACACCCCACACTTGACCCATCATGGCCTTAAGATTCCACATAAAGTATGTGTGTGGACACTCCTGGGGTAGGATTTCAAGACTGGGAAGTCTGGGAGTTCCTGTCAGCCTTGATTTTTAGGGAATGCTGCTAAAAGGAGTGCAAAGGTACAGAAATGTAAAGCTCTGGAAGTCTGTTCTCCTTTGGGGTTGAGAGGCTCATGGACAGACACGAACAGCAAAATGAAAATTCATTTTAAAAATAAATAAATTATCAGGCTTTTGGTCAAAAGCCTGATGATGATGATGATGATGATGATTATCATCACCCTTTAGATAATCAGGGCTGTAAGTCAAGGCTACAAACTCTCAGGATCTCGACAAAAGCAACGCTGCGAAGGAACCCAAAAGTGACGGCACAAACTTCCCAAAATATGACCAAACCATCTTCTGGCTCAGCCCAGCTGCCTAAAACTCCAAATCCACGCTCTCCAACTGCCCACCAGCAGCTCCTCCTGGAGGTGGAGCCCCTGGATTTCTCACCTTGAAGGTGGTGGTCCCGTAGAGCTTCGTCGTGTGCACGGTTTCCGGAAGCACGTTGGTGATGTTGGTGATGAATTCCTCGAGGAACTTGCAGGATTTCTCCAGATGGGTCGTGTTTATAATAATCTGCACGAGCTGTAAAGGCAAAAAAACAAAAAAAAGGGGGGTTCAACCGTGGTGCTCACAAAGCCAGAGAGGTTAAATCCGAGGTTAAATCCAAGGAATTCTGGCGTGAAAAGCTGGCGCTGTGCAAACACAGCGAGCTTTGCTCCGGACTCAAAGTGTCTCCTCCTTAACCAACAGCAGAAACTTAAATAAAAGATAATTTGGGGGTGAAAGCCTTTCCCATGACAGCCACTGACACCACGGGAGATGATTATTTCTAATGACTTTCCTACACTCAGCTGTCACTCAGGGCTCGTGTCAGCCCTGCCCGAGCACGACAGGCCTCCCAAAAAAAAACTGCCCTGACAAATCAGAAGGCAAAAAAAAGTCTTCTGTCTGCCAATGAACCCTAAATAACCCACACCTGGAGTGACACCCAGCAGCATCACACTGAGGCAAAACAAAGAAACCACGAGGTTTGACTTTTGGGAGGGTGCTGGTGGCGACCAGATCTCTCCCAGACCCAGAAGGCATCATAATGCTGGATTAATTATAATTGTTGTAGGACTATTATTAAGTTATAATTGAATTGCTGGAGCGTGGTGTGGTCGTCTGGAGCCACCTCCTCTACAGGAATGGTTTTGAAACACTCACAAATCTGAATGAGATTGGATTAATCAGTGATTTCAGTGGTTTAGGCACAGGAACATTGAAGTGACACTACAAAAGATCACAGAGTCCAACTCTTGGTGGTGCTGGATGACGTGGGAAGGGTGACGGTCACATCAGGGAGGTTCAGTGTGGATATCAGGACAACTAAGTCATTGGGAAGGTGGTGCAGGACTGGAAGAGGGTGCCCAGAGAAGCTTTGGGACCTCTCTTTAGGAGAAAGGAAAAGTCAGGTAAGAAATCCACGGTTGGTATGATCCAAGTGAGCGATGATCCCAATCCCAGGGGGAGGATGGAGCAGAGGAGACTGAGGGGAGACCTCAGTGCAGTTCAACTGCCTGGGCAGGGGCAGAGGAGGGGCAGGGACTGAGCTCTGCTCTGGGGGGACCAGGGACAGCCCCAGGGAATGGCTGGAGCTGTGTCAGGGCAGGCTCAGGTTGGATCTCAGGCAAAGGTTCTTCCCCCAGAGGCTGGTTGGGCACTGCCCAGGCTCCCCAGGGCAGTGGGCACAGCCCCAAGGCTGCCAGAGCTCCAGCAGGGTTTGGCTGATCCTCTGGGGCACAGGGGGGGACTCTTGGGGCTGGGCCTGTGCAGGGTTGAGGGTTGGACTGGGTGGGCCTTGGGGGTCCCTTCCAGCTCAGGATGTTCTGGGATCTGTGAAATCCTGGCTGGGCTGAGCTGGGTGGAAGGAGACACCTCCACTCATGTTCATGGTCCTTTTATTTGTAGAGGAGTAGTGAGGTACTGACCAGCAAAACAGGTTGGAAGATCAGCTTAGCCAGGATGGTGGAGACATTCCTGGCCAGGATAAGGCAGGACTGGGATTGTCCTCCTCTTACATGTGCTCTTTGAGCTGTGCAGGACATGTTTGGCTGATCCTCTGGGGCACAGGGTGGGACCTTGGGAATGGTCCTGTGCAGGGCTGAGGGTTGGACTGGCTGATCCCTGGGGGTCCCTTCCAGCTCAGCATATCCTGGGATTCCGTAACACCTCAGAGGTCCCTTCCAGCCAACGCTTCTTCGATTTCAGTCCCATTTTTATTTTTAAGAAATTAAATTATCACCTATTTGAACTCCTCATGTTTTTTACCTGTTTTTTACCTAAATGCCTTACAGGGGTTACTGGGAGTGTTCTAACCCCTGAATTCCTCAGGTTAATTTTTATTCTCCAGTTTTTGCCTCCAAACAAGTGCTCATCTGTGTTCCCCCGTGCCACCACAATCAGGATGTATTTTCCTGCAGTTCCAAGTCAATTAAACATTTCCAACTGTCTGAAATTCCTCCTAAACCTCTTCCCTGATCATCAGAATGGTCCAGATCAGCTTGAAATCACAGCTTTGAAAGCTCTGAATGCTCTGATTCTCTTCCACCACTTGCTATGAGCTTTCCTGCTCCCTCTGGGGCTCCTTCAAGTTCTGATTTTCTCTTCAGTTTGGGAGGGTAAGACCTTGTTGAGCAAGACCTTCTTGTTGTCCAAGACCTTCCTGTTGGGGGGTCTTTTCTTAAGGGAATCCTTAAGGTTGGAAAAGACCTCTGAGATCACCAAGGATTTGAGGAATTTTCAAAGGAAAACACCCCGTGCTTCCATTTGGCCAAACGATGGTTTCACAAAGACAAGAGGAAGGAAGGGATGAAGATGCTCAAGGTGGATTTTCTTCAACCAAATTAGGAAAAAAAAATGATGAGAGAGAGAGAACCCTGGGAGAGAGCAAGGAGTACCTTGGGAAGTGAGTGAAAAAATGGCCAGAGATGTAAATCTATAGTGTTGAAAAAGCACCGAACTCCCCAAACTCACCTCCCAAACTTCCCAATCTCATATCCTAAACTTCCCAAACTCCCCTCCTAAACTCCCCAAGCTCATTTCCATAGGGAATTTACAGTGTCCAGAGAACAGGACACATTCCTACAGTTCAGCCAATTAAAGTCTATTAATATCTACTTATTTAATAACCACACAGAGGTCCCACCACTGTCTCCATCTGCCCTGGGGATCCCATGTTCCCACAGAACCATGATTTATGTGCATTAAACTCGTCAGAAATCCGATTTTGCCCAGAAAAAAAGCATGGATCATGAAAAGAGAATCCCCAAATTGTGTTTGTGCTGTAACAATCTGCAGAAATGGCCTCTAACATCAGCTATAAATGGGATTACCCCCCACTCCATCCTCTCAGAGCTCCCACTCGGCTTTCCCAGTGCTCCCTAAGCTCCTCTGACTTTAATTCAGATACAGAACATTCCCCAAAATCAAAGGAGTGGAAAATTCAGAAACAACAGCAGAAAAGCTCCTCTTTCCCACAACACAAAGTGTTTCCTGCTCCGTGGTTCCATCGCTGTTTTCCAACCGAATATTTCACAGTAACGCTCCAAACCCCCTTCTGTCACCCTGCCCTGGAAATCATGGAATAACAGAACGGTTTGGGTTGGAAGGGACCTTAAAGACCATCCAGTCCCATCCCCTGCCATGGGCAGGGACACCTTCCATTATCCCAGGTTGCTCCAACCTGGCCTTGGACACTTCCAGGGATCCAGGGGCAGCCACAGCTTCTCTGGGAAATTTATTCCAGTTCCTCACCACCCTCACAAAGAAGGATTTCTTTCCAATATCCAATCTAAATCTTCACTTTTCCAGTGGGAAGCCATTCCCCCTCATCCCTTGTCCCTCTCCAGCTCTCCTGGAGCCCTTTAGGCCCTGCCAGGGGCTCTCAGCTCTCCCTGGAGCCTTCTCTTCTCCAGGGGAACCCCCCCAGCTCTCCCAGCCTGGCTCCAGAGCAGAGGGGCTCCAGAATCATGGAATGGTTTGGGTTGGGACTGTCAATCCTGCTGATTCCAGGCTCTGCCATGGGCAGGGACACCTTCCACTAGACCGGGTTGCTCCAACCTGGCCTTGGACACTTCCAGGGATCCAGGGGCAGCCACAGCTTCTCTGCCCAACCTGGGCCAGGGCCTCCTCACCCTCCCAGCCAGGAACTCCCTCCCAATATCCCATCTAACCCTGTCCTCTGGCAGCTGGAGGCCGTTCCCCCTTGTCCCACCACCCCAAACCCACGTCCCACCTCCGTCAGCCCCACGTTTCTCCTCTTGATGACCGTCTGTAAACAGTTGCTCAGCGTCCGGGTCAGCAGCAGGTTCGTGGATTTCCGGATCATGTCGTCGACCTCGGTGGAGCTGGAAAAGGGGGGAATTGCAAGAGAGGTTTGCAAAATAGTCCATGAAAAGAAAATCATCTTTGTCCCCTTCCTTCTCAACACTCTCCCACCTCACCTGTCGTCGTCCATGCAACGCTTACAGCTGCTGACATACTGATATATATGGAAATTCCAACTGTTTAGGTCAGGAAGGGGGACTAACAAGTCCTAAACCTGAGCCTCAGATACAGAACATTCCCCAGAATCAAAGGAGTGCAAACTTCAAAAACAACAGCAGAAAAGCTCCTCTTTCCCACAACACAAAGAGTTTCCTGCTCCGTGGTTCCATCGCTGTTTTCCAACTGAATATTTCACAGTAACGCTCCAAACCCCCTTCTGCCACCCTGCCCTGGAAATCACGGAATAACAGAATGGTTTGGGTTGGAAGGGACCTTAAAGACCATCCAGTCCCACCCCCTGCCATGGGCAGGGAAGCCCAGGTTGCTCCAACCTGGCCTTGGACACTTCCAGGGATCCAGGGGCAGCCACAGCTTCTCTGGGAAATTTATTCCAGTTCCTCATCACCCTCGCAGGGAAGGATTTCTTTCCAATATCCAATTTAAATCTTCACTTTTCCAGTGGGAAGCCACTCCCAGTTGTCCTGTCCTGTCCTTCCATGTACATCCCCGAGCCTCTCCAGCCCAAGGAAGAGCTGCCCATGGGCACCAGCAAAACCCTTGTGGCCAAGCCACTGCCCTGCACTGGAGACCTGCATGTTCAGCACAGAAGGGAAAAGATCTCCAGTGGGGGAAAAACCGACTCAAATATCCCAAAATACCCCTCTCAACCTTCCCATGGCTTTTTAACTGCGTCATAAAACCACGGAATGGTTTGGGTTGGAAGGGATTTAAAAAGCTACCTATTTCCCACCCCCCTGCCACGGGCAGGGACACCTTCCACTAGACCAGGTTGCTCCAACCTGCCCTTGGACACTTCCAGGGATCCAGGGGCAGCCACAGCTTCTCTGCCCAACCTGTGCCAGGGCCTCCCCACCCTCACAGCCAACAATTCTTTTCCAATATCCCATCTTTCCCTGCCCTCTGGCACTGGGAAGCCATTCCCTGTGTCCTGTCCCTCCATCCCTTGTCCCCAGTCCCTCTCCAGCTCTCCTGGAGCCCCTTCAGGCCCTGCCAGGGGCTCTCAGCTCTCCCTGGAGCCTTCTCTTCTCCAGGGGAACCCCCCCAGCTGTCCCAGCCTGGCTCCAGCCCTCGGAGCATCAGACTGGAAGCTCCTACAACACATTCCTGCCCTTTTCCAGGTGGTTGCAACTTCGGCATCGCTGGAATTTGGGAGTTTGTCTTTGTGCCCCTCCAACATGTGGCCGGTGGCACCTCTCCTTTCCGAAGGAAGTTTGGGAAACCCGCCCTGCCAGAGGCTCCTTTGATCTACCCTTGGCCCTGCATTAGCCCTGACACCACGGGCTTTGCCTCCAGCAGGAGAGGGCACAGGGAATTCCCCCCGGGAATGCTGAGACGTGTTAATAACTTGGAGGCTCCCGGTAAATGGAGCCCGTGACCTTTGGCTCCTGCTCCTGCTCCACCTGACAAAGGGGCCACGGCACAAAGCTGGGATTGACAGGAGAAACAAAAGCAATCCCTGAGGTTTCCTCGCTGCTGGGGGATGTTGGGATGCTGCTGTTGGAGTTCCTGCTGGGCTGGGAACGGGCACTGCCCGCCCGTGTCCCGCTCCCACTTCCCAAATTTCTGTGCCTGTTTAATGCTGGCTCGGTGCATCTGCTCCAAGTGCTGCTCCAGCAGGGCCTGATGCTCAGGAAGGCAGGACTGAGCCTCCTCCAGCAGGGATTCTGTGCCCACAGCAGCTCCTGGAACTGCTCATCCTTCCCATATTCCGGCATCACTCAGTCAGCTCCTTTTCTGAAGTTATTCCGGCCCTTCCTTGTGCTGCTGCCCGGGAATTGCACTGAAATCCCTCAAACTGGGCCATTCACTTCAGAGTTGGGCTCTGTGGGTCCCTTCCAGTTCTGAATATTCCTTGATCCTGTGAAATTCCCGGGAGAAGTGGCAAACACTGCTGCCCATCCGCATCCCTGAGCAAAGCCACGACCGGAATTCCAGGAGAAACCCGTGTCCTGCTGCCTTTTCCCAAGGAAAAGCCCAGCTGCACAACCCCCCTGCCACACTGCACTGCCCAACAGGTTCCTCCAACATTTCCTTTTTCCCTGATGTTTAGAAGTTGGCTTTTCCAAGCTAAATGGTTCCACTGTCTGCTTCCCAGGTGGACACAGTGGAGCAGGACCAGCAGCTCCCGAGAACTTAAATCCAAAGCCAGCAGCCAAAATCTCAGTGTGGGTCCCTTTTAGATCATCACTGACCCCAGGGAGTTTATTTTCCTCCTGCTATCTCACTTCATGTCCCAGAAGGACCCCTTGGCTCCTTCTCCCAGGGTTTTGACGTGTCCAAGGTGATGCAATTGGGTTTTATAAACCATGGAAGAGAAATCAAAGGCAGAAGGGAGGAGAAGAAACCAGTGAATGGGTTTTCCTGGGCTCTGTGCTTATGGGAAGGGCTCTCAAAGCAGGTTTTAGTCAGAGATAAGTTAAAAAAACAATTCAAACATAAACCCCAAACCCCAACATGCCACTCCCCCCAGGCTGTCCATCGTATCCCAGGAAAAACCAGAGATCCCAGTCCACTCCAGCAGACAACACAAGGGTTAAATACAGCCAGAGCAACCAAATCCAACCCTGGTTTGGATCTAGGGATGGTAAAAAAGACACCTGAGGAGATGCAAAGCCAGCTGTGACACTGGAGGGGGGTGGGAAAACTGGGAAGGGGATGGGGAAGCAGAAAGGGCTGGATCCATGTTCAGAGGGGTGGAAAAAAGTGTGTAGAGAGCAAAAAATACACAAAGTTGAATCCTGGTACAAACACTGAGGGTCTTTTGGGATTGGAGAAGGACTTTGGACAAGGGATGGAGGGACAGGACAAGGGGGAGTGGACTTAAGCTAAGGAGGGTGAGTTGGATGGGATATTGGGAAGGAATTCCTGGCTGGGAGGGTGGGGAGGGGCTGGGATGGAATTCCCAGAGAAGTTGTGGTTGCCCCTGGATCCCTGGAAGTGTCCAAGGCCAGACTGGAGTAACCTGGGATAATGGAAGGTGTCCCTGCCCATGGCAGGGGGTGGAATGAGATGATCTTTAATGTCCCTTCCAACCCAAAGCATTCCATGATTCTACCATTTTCCTTAGGAAATCCTGAGATGCAACACACAGGGAGTCACAGAGGATGGTGGAGGTTGGAAGTGCAGGTGGTACCTGGAGCTCCAGGAATCGACTGGAACCCCGAAAGCCCGGATGAAAACCCCGGGATTTGGACACGACGTCAGCTTTTCCTCACTAAACCGACACAGCAACCGAATCTACAGGGCTGGAAAAGCTTGGGTTTAAAACCCAAATGTCAACCTGTCACCAGGGAATCCCAATCCAACACGGGAGGCACCGCCTGGCTGCGGGAACGCCCCGGGACCCTCACGCTCCCGGCAGGATCCGGGTGCTGCTGCTCTGCCAGGGCTGTGGGGTCACCAACCCCTTGGGAGCCCAGGGCTGGCTGCAATCTCTCACTGATCTGCAGGAACATCCCCCCCCACCTCCAGGGCAAGGACAAGCTCAGGAATTCCAGGCTGCTTCTATTTCTTCAAAGAACTTCAAACCGAGCTTTCTCCCTGTCCCGGCGGCGTTCCTGCCCGTTCCCGTGGAATCTCAGAATCCTAAAGTTTGGAAAAGGCCTCTAAGACAACGAGGCCAGCTGCCATCCCCCAGCACTGCCAAGGCATGTGCAAGCACTAAATCATGTCCCCAAAGTGTCACATCCACAGGGCTTTTAAATCCCTCCAGGGATGGGGACTCCACCACTGCCCTGGGCAGCTGGGCCAGGGCTGGAGAACTTTTTCCATGAAGAAATTTTCCCAATATCCAACCTAAACCTCCCCTGGTACAACATTTCTTCATGCTCTATCTCCCATGGGCTCCACACACCAAGTAAGGACAAAATGGAAGCATTCCATGAAAAGGCCCATGGCAGGGGGTGTGAAATGAGATAGTCTTGGATGCTCTGGAGCCAGGCTGGGAGAGCTGGGGGGGTTCCCCTGGAGAAGAGAAGGTTCCAGGGAGAGTTGAGAGCCCCTGGCAGGGCCTGAAGGGGCTCCAGGAGAGCTGGAGAGGGACTGGGGACAAAGCATGGAAGGACAAGACAAGGGGAATGGCTTCCCAGTGCCAGAGGGCAGGGCTAGATGGGATATTGGGAAGGAATTGCTGGCTGGGAGGAATCTGATGCATCAGCTCCCAACTGGTGGGATTTAGCAGTGCTGGGGTTGTTCCCAACCCTCCACGCTCAGCCTACAACCAGGAGCAGCTGCAGCACTCCCACCCCCCCAGGAACACAGGAGCAGCAGCACGAGCTGCCAAAGAAACTCCATTTACCTCCTCTCTCCCACAGCCAAATTCCAAAGGTCCTCCCTGATTTTAGTTCTTCAAACCTCTCATTTTTAGACCATTTTCTTTTTACTAACTTGACATGTTTCAATCCTTCTCAGTGCTTTGCATCCCGAGTTCTTTCAGGATTGGTGCTTAGTTTGCAAAGCAACCCACCTCAAACCCAAACAACTGAAGTCTTGGTAGATTAGAGCTCCCATCCCATCCCTTCCACCCACTGTTTCCCAAAGATATTCCCTGTCTTTTCAATGGGAAATGCCACTGGAAAAAGAGGAAGCCTTCCAGTGAGCAGATACTTTTCAAGACAACCTGATGAACTCAAAACACACTTGTAACAGAGAGGAAACCGCTGAATTTATAAAGGGGGTTTTCTTTCTCTTAATTATTTAAGAGAAATAATTTATAAGTCCTATAAATCCACACGGGGCTCCAAATTTTCTTCAAACACACGAAGAGCAAAAGAACTTTCACAGGAGCAGCAACATAAAGGGGGAAAACTCCTGTCAACAAACACGAGGAGGGAGTTTAAAAAGAAAATAATTACGAAAAAATAATAATTAGGGGGAAAAAGAAAAAAAAAAGAGAGCTCCATTTTCCACCCCGGGCTCTGCTCTTTGGGAAAAGAGCTCGGAATCTTGAAGGGAACTGTCTGGGTTAATGACAGCTGATGTCCTGTATCCCGTGGCAGTAGCTGTGACCTCCAGGCCCCCCGTGACTGACGGGCTGACCCCGATCGCTCCGGGGTGTGACAGAAATGACAACCAAGGAAGAAAAAGAAAGGGAAAGAGAAAGGAAACTGGCTGCCGGCTTTGTAGCCAGGCTCCCTAATAAAACCTAATTCAAGCTGTCAGGGTGAAATGAAGAAAGTGTCAACAGGGGTTTTCAGAGAAATATTCCAAATGTTTGGCTGGCAAAAGGCAGAGCCGGGCTCCCATCCCCCCAGTTCCTCAGAAAGGGCTGGAAAAGCCGATGTCGAAAGGAATTTTAATAACCTGCCCAAGGGGACCCCCGAGGAGGGACCCCAAGGGGACGGTTTTCCTCCCTTCCCTGACAAGGCCAATCATCCCAGTAATGGTGAGGGGCACAGGGCTGGGGGTGGGGGCAGCGCCAGGGGAGGGGTTGGGTGAAAGCAGCGTCCGTGTGAAACCGGAGCGAGGTGTCGGCCCCAGAAACCGAGAGGCTTCATGGTGACCCCCGGGTTAAGAGCCCCGGGAGCCACCAAAGAGAACAACCTGCCACTGGTGAAAGGCTGAGGGGGAACGTGGGGAGAGGAACGTCCCGGGATCCCACAGAGACCACGGAGCTGCCGCGGCCTCCGGTGGGAGGGGGAGAAGAAAGTGCCTCCCCAGATCAGTGTCCCTGGCTGGGAGGGAGGGAATTCAGACCCTGAAGGGCCTCGTGTGGGCTCCAAAATGTCTGGGGAGGGCCCAGAGCCCTGGCCCAGCTTCATGTCAGCGCCGGGGTAATCGTGGAATGGCTCGAGTTGGAAGGGATTTTAAACCTCATCTCGTTCCAACCCCCTGCCATGTGCAGGGACACCTTCCATTATCCCAGGTTGGACAGGCCTTGGAGCAACTTCCTGAACACTTCCAGGGATCCAGGGGCAGACACAGCTTCTCTGCCCAACCTGGGACAGGGTCTCACCACCCTCACACCCAACAATTCCTTCCCAATATCCCATCCATCCCTGCCCTCTGGCACTGGGAAGCCATTCCCTGTGTGCTGTCCCTCCCTGCCTTGTCCCCAGTCCCTCTCCAGCTCTCCTGGAGCCCCTTTAGGCCCTGCCAGGGGCTCTCAGCTCTCCCTGGAGCCTTCTCTTCTCCAGGGGAACCCCCCCAGCTCTCCCAGCCTGGCTCCAGAGCAGAGGGGCTCCAGCCCCAGGAGCATTTCCAGGGCCTTCTCTGGACTCTCTCCAGCAGCTCCATGTCAGGTCATGACCAGGATATGAAACCCTCCTCCTGCAACTCCCACCTCTTGCTAGTAGAGCTCTGCACGTGGAAGGGAAGAAAGATCCTTCCATCCAGTAAAAATCCGGAAGGGAAGAAGCATCCCTGCATCCAGTAAAACCCTTGGTGTCAATTTTTCTGCCTCTACCAAGCTGGAAACGATTCCGAGTGCAAGAAAAAAAAGCACCAACTCGCAGTTTCTGGCAAATACAGTTGGTTTTCAACCTCACACACGTACACAGGGATAAAACCAGCATCAAAGCACCTTGGGATGGGGAGAGAGGAGGGTAAACACGTGGAATATTTTGCAGGCTTTTAAAAAACAACAAAAAAAAATCGCGTTATTTGTATGTAAACTCCCAGGAGAAGCAAGAAAAACAAAGCCCCGAAACCAGGAGCCGAAACTCATTAAGGCACAAAAATCCAAACCCCCCCCTCCCCCCCAGAGCCTTCCTGACAACACATCCCTGGAATCACGGGATTCCCAGTCTGGGGGAGGGCCAAGGGGAGGTCAGAGATGTTCTAGGAGGCCCTGACCCAACGAGGAGTGGACACCACCACCTCTCTTGAGACAACCAGGTTCATTTATTTCCCACAACTCCAGAAGCTTTTCGGAGGAAACGGCTCCCTCAGTTTTTCTACAGCTGGGGTTGTCCTGGGCTGTTTTCCCTGGAAGTGTCCAAGGCCAGGTTGGAAGGGGCTTGGAGCAACCTGGGCTAGTGGAAGGTTGCCCAAGTGCCCATCCACCATGGCAGGGGGTGGCACTGGATGACTTTTAAGCTCCTTTCCAACCCAAACCATTCCATGACCTTCCCCTCCTCGAGGTAGTTTTGAAGACATGACCAGCCCTTGGAAGATGCCATTGCTCCAATGAAGCCACCAACCACCTCCAGCCTGGCCAGGGTTTATCCAAACAGCTGAACAACAGGAAAAGTTGAGGAAAAGAATTTATATTTTAAACCTCTGAGCTCTCTGAGTGCAAAGAACCCCGGGTGTGAATGTCCTACCTCAGGTGAAGGTCCTCCGAGAACTTCAGGCAGGCGTAGATGAATTCCTTGATCTGATTGTAAACTTTAGGCACAAACTCGGAGAAGGGGAACTTCTTTGGAAAGGGTTGCTGTAAAAAAACACAGGAGAGAATTCCATGCAAGAGCAGCCATCCACCAGGAGACAAACGACTGCTTTCCAGCAGCGCGTTCCCAGCGGTCGGATCGATTCCAGGATTTAGCCAAAGAGACAACAAGGCATTTCTGGGGTGTTGGATAAACACTTCAGCCCAGTGAAAGGCCACAGAATCACTTACAAATGCAGTGCAGGAGGGGTTTGGAGCCTGGAAAGAGATTTGCAGCTCGGAGGGAGCAGGCAGAAAACAGGACCCTCATTCCCTCTCCCAAATCCCTCCCTCACAGGAAAACACCCCCTGGGAGAACTCCCTGATGCTTCTCTCCCATCATGCACGAGGTGTTTTGCTTGGTCACCTCCCCCAGGTGCTGCCAAAGGTGAGAATTTGCTTAAAACACCAAAAACCAACAGGAAACAGGTTTTCCTACCCCAAATTTCCCATCCAGCTCTTCCCCGCAGCAGGGGGAGGTGCAGTGACACAGTAAGACCCTGGACCCCGTGACTTAATTTTGGGGGAAGGACAAAGACTTCCTGAAATCTGGATCAGACCCCCTCCAATTCCTAATGAATTTCCCCATGGATGGAGTTTCCTGGGTGCCAGAAGGCCAAGCAGGATTTAAGGGACACTGGCTCCATCAGACTTGGATACACATCGGTTTTGGGAGCAGGCACTGGTAGAAAAGCCAAGATACACCACCCTGTTGGGCTCTTTTTCTTTAAATATGAGATTAAGACAAATAAAAGTCAAGAACATGGTTCAAAAAATGGGAATAATACCAGTGGAAGTGGATATTTTTAGTCTCCTGTGCGTTGCAAGGACTGCTCAGCTGATTGCACACCCTGAGATGAAAACAAAACCAACGAGGTTTTCCTCATCCACACCTGGAGAAATGCAACACATGGAAGGGATATTTGCTCTGTTCCCTGGTCCTGCTTTCTTTTCTTGCTGTTTATTTGGTGTGGGGAGGTGGATTTGGGTGATTTTTGATGCTCCCATTTGCAGTTCTCCACGTCCCTGATGAGGGTGTGGGGTTTTCCCGCGCCAGCGGCCACACGAGGCCGTTTTCCCCATTCCAAGACTCACTCCAAGACTCACCTTTTCAAGTTCAGCGTCCTGGAATGGGAACTGTCCAACTACTTTCTTATAAAGTTCTTCATTTGACACCGGGATGGGGCTGTAGTTGTCTGAGTCAAGTATATTTCTAGGAAAAGGAAAGAAAAGTCAGGAAGAAAGCTCTGGTAGGAGAGGACCCACAGCTCTACCGGGTCAGGAAGCTCCCAGGAGGAGGTGCCAGTCCAAGATGGGATCCCACAAACCCACAGGAGCAGCACAGGGATGTGCCACTGATGTCCCGAGACACCCACGGCTTGGTGATGGAGCAAGGGCACAATATCATGGAATCATGGAATGGGTTGGGTTGAAGGGACCTTAAAGACCATCCAGTGCCACCCCTGCCATGGGCAGGGACACCTTCCACTAGACCAGGTTGCTCCAACCTGGCCTTGGACACTTCCAGGGATCCAGGGGCAGCCACAGCTTCTCTGGGAAACCTGGGACAGGGCCTCCCCACCCTCACACCCAGCAATTCCTTCCCAATATCCCATCTATCCCTGCCCTCTGGCACTGGGAAGCCATTCCCTGTGTCCTGTCCCTCCCTGCCTTGTCCCCAGTCCCTCTCCAGCTCTCCTGGAGCCCCTTCAGGCCCTGCCAGGGGCTCTCAGCTCTCCCTGGAGCCTTCTCTTCTCCAGGGGAACCCCCCCAGCTCTCCCAGCCTGGCTCCAGAGCAGAGGGGCTCCAGCCCTGGCAGCAGCTCCGGGGCCTCCTCTGGACTCTCTCCAGCAGCTCCATGTCCATTTTCCACACTAACTTTACTGCAACCCCAGATTTTTGCATCCTTCCAGCTCCTGAGTGTCCATGTGAGCTCCATAATGAAACCATGAATTTGTCCAGCACACACAGGATCCCCGCAACTCTATTTAAACTGGCTCTCCCTGCTCCAGGAGAAGTCCAGGATCTTACTGAACCTTACTGCTGCCCAAAATTTAAACATGAACTCGCAATTATGGTGCTTTCCCCATCCCTGGAAGTGTCCAAGGCCAGGCTGGATGGGGCTTGGAGCAACCTGGGATGGTGGAAGGTGTCTCTGCCCGTGGCAGGGGGTGGAACAAGATGAGCTTTACCCCTTCCAGCCCAACACATTTGTGATTCTCTGATTAATCCCTCGAAAGATTTTATTTAGGGGCCAAAATGCCTCCGTGAGGGGCATCTCCTGGGTCTGCTGGAAGAGCCTCTTACCTGAAAACTCCTGACCATTTCTTCAGGAGGGTTTCACTGTACTGGTCCTGGATCTCCAACAGCATGTCAAAGAGCTGGTTCACTGGGAAGCCATAGCCCTGGGATGAGGGAAGAGAGAAACTTCAGGAGGAAAAGAAGCCACCAACAGGTAGGTGATTTATTTTCTCTGTTCAACAGGGAGCACGTGGGCAAACCCTCCTCTACCCCCAGCCCAGAGGTGAATGGTGCTGGTGGAGGGATTTAGGGGCTGATTTACCAAGGGTAGGACCAAGGACTACCAAAGGTTTGGTCCTTGGCCACTCTGAGGCACCAAGCAAAGCAGGTTGTCCATCAGGTGCCACAATCCATGCACTGACATGCCAAAAAAGAAGCCAGGTCACCACATCCAGCCCCCAGCAGGTGTTGAACCCTGTGGTGGGCACATCTGTGAGCAGCAGGACCATGGAGTGAGAGAAGGAGTGGTCCCCACCCACTGTGTACCTGGAGTGTGTCAGCAAAGAGGACAATGAGGTTCTTCAAGTCTAACACCAGGCTCGGGTCGGAGCAGTAGGACTGGAAAGAAGGGGAGAGAGGAAAACATGGGTTTAAACTGCACAACACGGAAAAAAATCCTGCCCTCGGCCCTCCTGTGTTATCTCTGGAGCGATAATAAATGCAGGGCCTAATGACCAGCAGCTTTTATCCTGCAGCAGTGTCACCCAGGGCCAGGGCAGGGGGGGTGATAAGGGTATCTCTCCTCCTAATGCCCCTCTCCAGGCTCTCCATGATGAAGAAGGACTTTGGGTGCTCCAGAGATACCTGAAGTGTCTCTAAGATTCCCCAGGAGCTGCTGGGAGAGCGAGAGGAGATGAAGCAAATCAACACCACTGTCAGAGCAGGACGCCAGCAGCTCCTCATCCAATATTTACTGTGTTGTGTCTGATGGTAATGAAGCATCAGCGGCTCGGGCTGAGGGAAAACTTCTTATATTCCAACAAATTAATGGTCAGAACTCCAACACGAGGATTTATTGTAGGTCAGGACGCTGCTCAAAACCCTAAAGACACAACTGAGCGCAGTGACAGCGCTGGTGTCCCCCCCCCAGAGTCACCCCCTGTCCCCCACGTGCTCACTCTGGACACAGAAAAACCTCCCTGTGCTGAAACATGTAAAGTCTCAGGCAGATTTTGCCCAAATATAGAATCAGGGATCACGAGCTGGAAAGAGAAGCGGATTTAAAGAGAACAGATTTAAAGCTCACTGGAAACTCCAGGAGGAACAACTCCATTAATCAATGGGAAAGGCTGGAAGACACACGTTTTCCAGCTCACTGTCCAAAAAAAAAAAGAGAGTCAGAAGGAAAGATAACGCCCTAAAGCTCTCAGAAGTGATAGAAGATGTCCCTGTCTGCGGCGAGGAAGAAAATCCAGGGACAAATTTGGCTGAACTGGAAGAACTGAAGCAACCTCCCCAAGGTGAGAGCTCCCCTCAGGCCCCAGTATGGGATGGAGGGCACTGGTGTGTGTGGGGGGAAGCTGTGCCCAGAGAAGAAGGGGTGATGACCACAGGAGCGGTGTGGGGAGATCATGGAATGCTCCCTGACTCCTGCAAAGCCCTCTCCTGGCAGCCACTTCACGCAGCAAGTTTGGCATCACTTGAAACAACCCTGGGAGGGCAACGAAGGCGAGGGGAACTGAGGAGCCCCGTGGTCGGGCCCGGCCCCCCCTCCCGGTCCCACCTCGGAGAAAATCCCACTTGAAAGGAAAACAAACACGGGTTTACAACCCGGTGGGGTGTTCAGCTCTGTTTAGGAACACGGGAGCTCAGGGGAAGGAGGCAGCTTTCCAGGCAACACGACTGCTGGGATGGACTCGGGGAACACCGGGAAGCTCCTGTGGTCCCTCAGCCCGACGAGCTCCAGGTCCAGAGAAGAGTCATGGAATGGGCTGGGTTGGAAGGGACCTTCCAGACCATCTCATTCCACCCCCCTGCCATGGGCAAGGACACCTTCCACCAGCCCAGGTTGCTCCAAGCCCCGTCCAACCTGGCCTTGGACACTTCCAGGGATCCAGGGGCAGCCACAGCTTCTCTGAGAAATTTATTCCAGTTCCTCATCACCCTCACAAACAAGGATTTCTTTCCAATATCCAATCTAAATCTTCACTTTTCCAGTGGGAAGCCATTCCCCCTCATCCCTTGTCCCTCTCCAGCTCTCCTGGAGCCCCTTTAGGCCCTGCCAGGGGCTCTCAGCTCTCCCTGGAGCCTTCTCTTCTCCAGGGGAACCCCCCCAGATCTCCCAGCCTGGCTCCAGAGCAGAGGGGCTCCAGAATCATGGAATGGTTTGGGTTGGGACTGTCAATCCTGCTGATTCCAGGTCCTGGCATGGGCCTTCCACTATCCCAGGTTACTCCAGCCTGGCCTTGGACACTTCCAGGGATCCAGGGGCAGCCACAGCTTCTCTGCCCAAACTGAGACAGGGTCTCCCCACCATCACAGCCAAGAATTCCTTCCCAATATCCCATCTATCCCTGCCCTCTGGCACTGGGAAGCCATTCCCACTTGTCCTGTCACTCCCCATGGATTATCCCCACCTGCCAAGCTGAAGTCATGAGCACGTTCTACAGAACTCGGTGTGGTTTGGAACCAGCAGCTTTTTGTGTCTGCACACAGAAATTTTAGGGTTTTCCCAGCAAAGAACCTTTGGGTTTCCCCTCACGTTCCCAGGACACCCCAACAGATGCAGATCTGCAGCCCCTGCTCTGCCAACCCCAGGGAGCTGTGGGGCATCAGGGCCTCAACACTTTGTATTTCATGGAGCCCAACAATTTAAAAACAGACTTGCAGAAACTCATTAATCACAGAACGTGCTGAGCTGGAAGGGACCCACAAGGATCATCCAGTCCAACCCCTGGCCCTGCCCAGGACACCCCAACAATCCCACCCTGTCCCTGAGAGCGTTGTCCAAACCCTCCCTGAACCAAGTCCTCAAGCACATCACAAGATTTGCCTTTTACTGTCAGAATTTTCCATCCCCCAATGAATGCTGAGCCAGCACAACATCGTGTCAGGTGATACAAAACTGGCAAAAAAAGTACATTTTTTGCAACTGGTTCTGGTTTTTTAAGCTCATTCAGGCTGTGAACTCTGAGGGAACAAGATGGTCCTGAAGGTCCCTTCCACCCCAAAGCATTCCAGGATTCTGGGATCTCGTATCAAACTGGGTCACACCCCAATGAGTCACAGTCACTGAATGTGCTGAGCTGGAAGGGACCCCCAGGGATCAGCCAGTCCCACCCTCAGCCCTGCACAGGACCATTCCCAAGGTCACACCCTGTGCCCCAGAGGATCAGCCAAACGTGTCCTGCACAGCTCAAAGAGCACATGTAAGAGGAGGACAATCCCAATCCTGCCTTGTCCTGGCCAGGAATGTCTCCACCATCCTGGCTAAGCTGATCTTCCAACCTGTTTTGCTGGTCAGTACCTCACTCCCCTTCTACAAATAAAAGGACCATGAACACACGAGTGGAGGTGTCTCCTTCCACCCAGCTCAGCTCAGCCAGGATTTCACAGATCCCAGAACATCCTGAGCTGGAAGGGACCCCCAAGGCCCATCCAGTCCAACCCTCAGCCCTGCACAGGCCCAGCCCCAAGAGTCCCCCCCTGTGCCCCAGAGGATCAGCCAAACCCTCCTGGAGCTCTGGCAGCCTTGGGGCTGTGCCCACTGCCCTGGGGAGCCTGGGCAGTGCCCAAACAGCCTCTGGGGGAAGAACCTTTGCCTGAGATCCAACCTGAGCCTGCCCTGGCACAGCTCCAGCCATTCCCTGGGTGCTGTCCCTGGCCCCTCCCCAGGGATGTGCCAAAGAGATGCTTTTTCCCCCCCGTTTTTTGGGGACAAATCAACTCCCTCTGCTGGTGCTTCTCAAAAACCATCAGTGAAATAATGAGGAGAACATAAACCCGCTGTTTGCTGCTCCAAAATACTGAGTTTTGTAGGGAAATGAAGCAAATCGGGAGGGGAAAACAGCCAGGGAATGGGAATGAGCCGTGTGCCTTCGGGTTGTTCTTTAAACAGTCATTGGAAACAGAGGGAAAGCAAGGAATAATTTTAAAAAGCCAGTATTAAAGTACATCAGATCACAGTCAAGGAAGGACATTGAGGTCCTAGAGCAGGTCCAGAGGAGAGCAACGAGGCTGGGGAAGGGACTGGAGCACAAGTGCTGTGAGGAGAGGCTGAGGGAGCTGGGGGGGCTCAGCCTGGAGAAGAGGAGGCTCAGGGGAGACCTCCTCACTCTCTGCAACTCCCTGACAGGAGGGGGGAGCCAGGTGGAATTGGGCTCTTTTCCCAGGCAACCAGCAGTGGGACAAGAGGGCTGGGTCTTGAGCTGTGCCAGGGGAGGTTGAGGTTGGAGATTAGAAAGAATTTCTTTGCAGAGAGGGTGCTCAGCCATTGGAATGGGCTGCCCAGGGAAGGGGGGGATTCTCCATCCCTGGAGGTGTTTAAGGACAGACTGGATGTGGCATCAGTGCCATGGGTTGGGAACCACGGCGGGGTTGGATCAAGGGTTGGACTTGATGATCTCGGAGGTCCCTTCCAACCCAGCTGATTCTGGGATTCTGTGATTCTACGATTCTATGATTCTGTGATCCTATGATTCTATGAGTCTGTGATTCTGTGATTCTATGATTCTATGATCCTATGATTCTGTGATTCTATGATTCTACAATTCTATGATTCTACGGTTCTACGATTTTGTGATTCTGTGAGTCTGTGATTCTATGATTCTCTGATGCTATGGTTCTATGATTCTATGATTCTATGGTTCTATGATTCTATCATTCTATGACTCTATGATTGTATGATTCTGTGATTCCATAACAATATGATCCTATGATTCTATGTTTCTGTTTCTCTGATTCTACGATTCTCTGATTCTACGATTCTCTGATTCTACGATTCTCTGATTCTACGATTCTATGTTTCTCTGAATCTATGACTCTATGATTCTATGATTCTGTGATTCTATGATTCTGTGATTCTATGATTCTGTGATTCTATGATTCTGTGATTCTATGATTCAATGATTATATGATTCAATGACTCTGATTCTATGATTCTGTGATTCTGTGATTATATGATTCAATGACTCTGATTCTATGATTCTGTAATTCTATGATTTTGACTCTATGATTCTGTGATTCTCTGATTCTGTGATTCCATGACTCTATGATTCTATGATTCTGTGACTCTGTGACTGTGATTCTGTGATTCTGTGATTCTGTGACTCTGTGACTCTGTGACTGTGATTCTCTGATTCTGTGATTCTGTGATTCTCTGATTCTATGATTCTGTGATTCTGTGATTCTCTGATTCTACAATTCTATGATTCTACGGTTCTACAATTCTGTGATTCTGTGAGTCTGTGATTCTCTGATTCTATGATTCTGTGATTCCATGACAATATGATTCTATGTTTCTGTTTCTCTAATTCTATGATTCTCTGATTCTACAATTCTATGTTTCTGTGATTCTCTGATTCTCTGAATCTGTGATTCTGTGATTCTATGTTTCTGTGATTCTATGTTTCTCTGATTCTCTGACTCTATGACTCTATGATTCTATGACTCTGTGATTCTATGATTCAATGATTATATGTTTCTATGATTCTATGATTCAATGACTCTCTGATTCTATGATTCTATGATTTTATGACTCTATGATTCTGTGATTCTGTGTCTCTCTGATTCTCAGATTCTGTGATTCTATGACTCTATGATTCTATGTTTCTATGATTCTGTGATTCTATGTTTCTATGATTCTGTGATTCTCTGATTCTATGATTCTGTGATTCTCTGATTCTATGATTCTGTGATTCTCTGACTCTGATTTTCTGATTCTGGGATTCTGTGATTCTGTGATTCTCTGACTCTCTGATTCTATGATTCTGTGATTCCATGACTATGATTCTGTGATTCTGTGACTCTGTGATTCTGTGACTCTGTGATTCTGTGACTCTGTGATTCTGTGACTCTGTGATTCTGTGACTCTGTGATTCTGTGACTCTGTGATTCTGTGACTCTGTGACTCTGTGACTCTGTGACTCTGTGACTCTGTGACTCTGTGACTCTGTGACTCTGTGATTCTGTGACTCTGTGATTCTGTGACTCTGTGATTCTGTGACTCTGTGATTCTGTGACTCCGTGATTCTGTGACTCCGTGATTCTGTGACTCCGTGATTCTGTGACTCCGTGATTCTGTGACTCCGTGATTCTGTGACTCTGTGATTCTGTGACTCTGTGACTCTGTGACTCTGTGATTCTGTGACTCTGTGACTCTGTGACTCTGTGATTCTCTGATTCTCTGGTTCTCTGGTTCTACGGTTCTACGATTCTGTGATTCTCTGATTCTGTGATTCTCTGATTCTGTGATTCTCTGATTCTGTGATTCTCTGATTCTGTGATTCTCTGATTCTGTGATTCTGTGATTCTGTGATTCTGTGACTCTCTGACTCTCTGACTCTCTGACTCTCTGACTCTCTGACTCTCTGACTCTCTGACTCTCTGACTCTATGACTCTATGACTCTATGACTCTATGACTCTATGACTCTGTGACTCTGTGACTCTGTGATTCCGTGTTTCTCTGATTCTCTGATTCCCTGATTCTCAGGGCTGAGGGACCCACAGGCTCCCACTCACCGAGTGCGTCCGGAGCGCGGCGATGGTTTTGGACAAGGCCATTTCCCACAGCTCATCCAGGTAGGCCCGGTTGACCAAGCCCTGCGTGGTGTGCAGGATGTGATCCTCCACCACGAAGAACCTGAGGACAGGGGACAACATTCCCGGCATCACATTCCGGCTCCGGAGAGACCCGGAGACATCCCCGGGCCACCCCCGCGAACGGAGACGCGGCACCGGCGCATCCGGGAACACAGGGTGGGAGGCACATTTGAAATATTTCAATGCAGGGAAAATCATTTAAATGCAGGGAAAATGCTTTAAATGTAGGGAAAAATGATTGAAACGCAGGAGAAAATTATTTAAATGCAGGGGGAAATGATTTAAATGCCGGGAAAAATGGTCTGATTGCAGGGAAGAGGGTTTTATCTGCAGGGGAAAATGTTTTATCTGCAGGGGAAAATGTTTTATCTGCAGGGGAAAATGTTTTATCTGCAGGGGAAAATGTTTT